GAGGGGGAGAGGCAGAGGGACTGTGGGATGTAGTTCCAAATGGTGGGCGCAGAGAGTCTGAAGGCCTGCCCGCTAACGGTGGGGCAGGCAAGGCGGGGGACATGAAGCAGGCGGAGGGAGCGGACAGGTTGGTAGGGGGTTAGGCTTAATAAATGATAACCAACACGCGGTTGTTAGGAATCATGGCGCACAAATATTCTAGGTCACCACACAGGCTATTTTTCACCATGCTATATGGCACAATTATTTATACAGACTGCTGCCCTCCTCCCACCCCCACACTAACACATGCAGGACTACATCAAATGCTATTATTGTTATTATTATTTTTCTGCCATATGTATATGAATGACACCCAACTCTATCTCTTTGACTCTACCCTCCAGTTCAGGACCACTGCTGTTCTGAATGATTGCCTGTCAAACATCAAATTCTGGATGAGTTCTAACTTTCTAAGGCTCATTGTCTAAAAGACTAAGGCTCTCATTCCCATCTCCCATCAGCACCATCTCTTCTCATCAATCTCATGACCACATCAATCTGCATGGGTGTTCATTCCATCTAAGGAATCAGTGCAAATCGTCTGTCCTGTTTGACCACTTTGCCTTGTCTCCTCCCTCTCCGCCATCAAAACCAACCTTAAGCCTAGGATTCCCAAGAAAGAAAACGGCTGCTGCCGACTCAGCGAAGCAAAAAAAGTTGACACAAAAAAAAGGCCACCAAGTCAAAAAGCGCCTCCTCATCAATCCATTCAGACACAATTCACTGGGCGCCATTGCCACATAACACGTCTCTCTCCTCTCAGAACTTTCCAACTTATTTCCTTGAACATTACTGTACAAAATGAAGCTCCTCGCTTGATTGAAACTTCTGGTCACAACACATGTAGCTACTTACTTCAATTTGAAGCTCACTCCTACAGCAACTGCATGTGTTGTGATCAAAAGTTCAATCAAGCATTGTTCATTCACATTATGTTAGTACATACAACATTCATACCACTGTGAATTTCAGTGAAGAACCATTTTAAATAGGCTGTAATTAAATAGGTTTTGCATGTGTGTTATCGCATTCTCTCTCAGTCTCATGTTACACACTGTAGCCTACGCTCTCATGTTGTCTGCTAGGTCCCAGGTGCGCTCTCTAGTCTCTCTCACTCACATCCAGGCACTGTAAAAAGCCAACAACTTGCAAGGCAGTAAACAAAACGGTCAGGCCGGTTAAAATTGGCTGAGTGGGAAGCTTACTTAAGTCCCATCTCTTTGACTGTGCTTTCAACCATCATTCCCCTCCTTCCTCAGCTTCCCCCATCCCCAGGCAACAGTTCGAAGCGCTTTAAGTCAGTCTCCCAACGTGAAAAGCCCTATATAAATGTAAATTGTTTCTGTTGTTGCCAGTCAGCCACTTTGTTTCTAAACACTCACTCATGACAGCAACAACAACAAAATTACATTTGTATAGCGCCTTTCACGTCGGGAGGACGTCCCAAGCACTGGGAAGATGAGCACAGATATCGATCCCCAGTGACATAGTTGGCCCGATTGTGGGTTTTAACAGAATAAAACAAGAAAGTTTGTTGATAACTGGGGGGCAATTGAAGAGTCCTGCACTGCTGAGGCCAAAAATCAAACAATGCAATACCTTAAGTGATATAAAAATATTTTGAACTTTCAAACTCTTACAGTGTCTCTGACTTACATTGCCACCAAGGCCATCCATCATTCGCAGTTTCAGAATAGGCAGCCAGTTATTTGCTGTTGTATATTCCACCGTCTTCAACTAGGATCCTCTCTATCTATCAAGGACTGCTGAGAGTGAGAGTGAATGGTGCTAGGCCTGAATTTGGGTGGGGAGAATGGCAGAGTCATGTCTGAATGGGCGAGTGTTGGTGTAATGTCTGACTATGAGAGGGGCTGAGAGGGGCCAAGGCAGTGTCTGAGTGGAACAGGTGTCAGGGTCGTGTCTGAGTCGGAAAGGAGCTGGAACCTGGGTCATATCTGAGTGGAAGTGTACAAGTTGTTTTAGAAATATTTCACAACTTTCACAAAATGAATACTTTCATGCATTTTCAGATGAAAGTGAAACTAATTTCACTGTTAACTGGCATTATTTTGCATTGAGAAAGGTATGGAAAACCTGAATTGCATGCTATTTAAGTCTCTAAAAGCATCATCAGAATTTGCAAAGACCACAGTTCTTACGTGTACAGAAATAACATGGGATTTTGATATTATTTTCTATTAATAAAATAAAAAATACAAATGCACAGATAGGTCACGGCTTCCTGTTTTACCGCCACAGGGCAATTAGGTATTTCCCCTACCAAAGAAGTGACGGAAATCATGTTTTAGAAGTATGAGAACGTTACTGTACTGTACACGTCAAGGCATCTGTATTTCACAAGTAATTACTGTCAAGTATAGTATGCAAAGGCGGCAGCTATTTTGCACATAGCCATGAGGTGAATGATCACCTGAACAGAAGGATTGTTGGGACACTGGGTAAACTCCCTTCTCTCTTTAAATGATTCGTGGGAATCTAACGTTCACCTGAAAACAGATGGAGCTTAGTTCAGATGCATTAGCCAAAAGACAGTACCTCTAACCCAGTACTGCACTGGAATGGCAAGTGGGGTTTGAACCCACATCCTTCTGACGCAGAGGTGCTAAGAAGTGGAAATTCATGGCTTTGATGCTGCACTTCGACATAACAAACTGTGGCTTTCTTTCCACTCTATAAATGGAATCTTGTTGTTGTTGTTGTTGTTGTTCTTTTGCCATTGTTGATGCCGAGTCCACCAATTTATAGTCACTTAGTTGCTTTGATTATTAATAGTTTATTCTTGAAATTTATTCACTTATAGGAATATGGACAAATAGGGATGTTCCCTGGAAATCAATAATTTAAAGATCATTTTTGCCTGTCTAATAATGTTAATATCAACTACTAATGAGCATAAAACTGCAAGTGTCTATCCGAGAACTCCAATAGTAGCTACCGGAAAATTAAAAAATTGGATTTGCCCATGTTGTTCTTGAATTGTGTTACTTGTCAAACACTACCACTATTAGGTGCTCTGAGACACTAACCCGTGTGAAGGGCACTATATAAATAATAATAATCCTTGCATTTGGTATAGCACTTTATCACGTCATAGAGACATCTCAAAGCACTTCAAAGGATATACTATAAGGTGGAATGACTGTATTTTTGTGAGCGAAACACAGCAGCCAGTTTGCGTAGGCAATGTCCCACAAACAGCCATGGAGTGGGTGACCATTTTTTTTATTTGGGGGATTTGTTGGCCAGGACACTGGGAAACTCCCTTCTCTTTGCGAATAGGATGGGATAGGCATTTTTAACATTCACCTGAACAGGCAGATGGGAGCTTGATTTAATATCGCATCCGAAGGAAGGCACCTCCCGACAATGCAATACACCAACGACAATGTAATACATCCCCAGCACTGCACTGGAATGTCAGCTTCTTAAAGACTGTGTGATTCCAAGTCAGGCTTGAACCCACTACCTTCTGACTCAGAAACCGGAGTGCTACCCACTGAGCCTGGCTCGACTCACAAATGCAAGTTGCTTTTCTTGTTGAATCTAATGCAGTTCTAAGATTCTGTTTTTTTTAAAACAGAGATGTGTTGTGTGAAATATGCCCATTTCTAAAAGAAAAAAAAAAGAAATTCACGTCTGAAAGAACACTGAAACACTTAAAAAGAAATAAAACCAACTGTTGTTCTTTGAAAAGAATCAAAGATTAGGATGTTCTTTGTACTACAGTTGTTCCACTAGTAGCCTTAAAATACTGAGATCTGGGAGACAGATTGCCTGTTTTGGGGTGATCGACTGGGTGGAAGTTAAGACGACAACCGTTGGTGGGTAGTGAGATAGGGTCTTGAAAGTGGGTAAAACCTCAACCAGAATATGGTAACTCATACAACAAAAACACCAACTTGCATTCATATAGAGACTGAGAGAGGAACTGAAACATACCTGAGCATGAGAAACAAAACTTTGAACTCGGAAAATAGTATTAAAATCAAGTCTCTATTGTATATCCCAAACCCTGAAATTTTGAAACTCATCTGCATATATGCATCTAAAATTCAAACCATGTACTGGTTTCAAATCCTCTGTAATTAAAATCGAATCGTCTTTACAATAATAATAATCCTTGTATTTGATATAGCGCCTTATCACATCTTCGAGATGACTCAAAGCACTTCACAGAATATACTGAAGAGTGAATTGACTGTATATCTATGGCCAAAACGCGGCAGCCAATTGTGCACAGCAGTGTCCCACAAACAGTCATGGATTGAGTGACCAAATTATGATTATTATTTTTTTGGAGGGATTATTCTCCCCAGAAAAGTGATCCGTCAATTGACTACCAACCGGGTTCCTACTTACTGCTAGGTAAACAGGGGTATGTGGAGTAAGGAAACCTCCCTTATGTTTCGCCCTGCTCGGGAATCGAATCCAGGTCCTCTCGCTTGCAAGGTAAGCGCTCTAACCACTAAGCTGCAGGACTATATACCATATATAAAGAATGGTGAAATAGTAAATTGATGTCATCATAATTGAATTGTTGTGAAGCTTATTAACCCTTGGAATTCATTCACCCAGATAGTGTCAAGACTTGGCAAATGCCCACCAATTAACTTCTTTCGATGTTTGCACGTAAATCATCAGAATTGAATGAAATACTGGTGCTGTAAAACATCTACAAGCAGATCAGTTACAGAATTTCTAGTGATAAAATATGCATGAAGGCCATGCTCTTAAGGATTACACTTATGATCACAGCCTCTATTATGATACAAAACAAAATATTTGCATCTGATTGCAAGTCTCATATCAATTACTTGCAGTGATAAGATACTGAAACTGTTTGGAATTGAACAGAGTATGGTTAAGGCCGCGGCAGACTTGCAAAAGTTAACTCAGGTAAATTCCGAACACTCAATAGCAAAGGGTGTTTGGCTTACCTTGCATTTTGCTGACCTACATTTGATGGCAAGGAAATATCTGACTGGTCTTTTCTGGTCAGCTGATTGTGAAGAATGTCTTTAACAGGAAGGCAGTACACTCTTTGTATAACAACTTTCACATTTTGCTTTGTCCATCCTGCTGTTCCCTGGCTTTCAATCACTTCAAGCAGGGAGTCCCACACAAGGTTATCTGCAGACCAATGCGTAATACCCCTTTCCTTCTTAAGGCTTTCCTGCTGGGTTGCAGATGGATTTTCAGCACTCCTCGCTTTATCCTGTTTTGAGAACACATTATCATTTCATTCTCTCAGCATACTTGATCCAAGAACTCTTTTCCTATCACAAGTTTTATAGTCACAGTGTGGATTTTCTAACCCTCTGATAATGTTATGACCTCTGATATAATGCTACTGTAATTGCTTCCTGCACCCACATTTTTGTTGGCGCTAAAATTGCTTAAATGTCGATATTTACAATGTTGGCATTTAGACATCAACATTGTGATTACATGACCTTGAATATACTGTAATGTGGCCTTCATTTACGACAAATTGTGGCTGCCTCCTAACTGTGAAAAGCAAGCTCTATTGCAGTAGATTTAGTTTTAACTATTCAGAAATATAATTATTAAAAACTCACAACATAGGTATTCAAAATTATGAGGAGTTTAATATGATACAATAAGAACTAACTAGAAAAAACTATCTTGGGGGGAAAGAGGTGTAATTGAGGTCTCCTTGGAGCTGAGCTTCCTCCAAGGTCACGTGCTTGACAACAGAATGTTGAAATCAAGTCAATCCTGTAGATCTTAGTTATCCAGTTCCACAGCCACAGTGATCCAGGGCACTACTGATGACAGGCGGTTAGCCTAACTCATCTTAATAATAGTCCTTGCATTTTGATACAGCACCTTATCACATCGTTGAGACGTCTCACTACTGCTGGATGACTTCGTAAGGGCTTGGAGGTGCAGACAACTGAGGGCAATAAATAAAAACCCCCTTATTAGCTCCTGTGTTGTGATTTCTACAATTCACTTCATTTCAAACCCTCGTGATTTCAAGGAAATAATTTTCTCAGGATTAGAACAGGTAGAGCTCTTGCTCTCTTACCAAATGGAACTTTGGCCCAGAACTGGTGAATTTTGCTTCCTCAAGCTACAGAAAAAGTAATCTCTAATCTTGGCACAAGCTTCAGCCCACCAACTTCTGATTCAGAGCTGAAAAGTGAGTCAAGTTGACAGCTGATAGTAGAACTTGAGCTACCAGATGACACGGTTCCCATCAAATCTGCTCATGCAATCTTTTTTGTTTTGAGTTATCTGACCTTACACAACCTCATCTAGGGTTGAACTCAGGGCTTAGTAATTGCTCACTGCAACTCAGTCTCCCTGACAGGGAATCTCTACCAACATCCAAGAAAAATACAAAAAGCATGATTCAACATACAAGGAGTTAATTAAGACATAAGAAAAGGCCATTCGACCTGTCAAGCCCACTCCTTCCACAGATCAAACACAACTAGTAGTGGTCTCTTCCCCTTGCCTTTCCCTTTCTGTAGATAATTTGACTTAACATCTGGAACTCTCTGCCTCAATCTCTCTGCGTCTTTATCAATCTTTAAATCCCACTTTAAGACCTATTTCTTTGACCACATCTATGATCACCTCCCCCTTCTCCCTTGCTCGGTGAACAATTCTGCCACGATGCATTGCTCTAAGACTCTATCCTGTGTGAAGGGCGCTATATAACTACAAGCTGTTGGTGACGATTGGGAAGTGTTCTATAATCTCTAATTCTAAAATTACTACCGACCTCTATCCAAGGTCCAGATCTCTGTTTCGTGATTCTCAAGCTCCTCTTCTGACTTTTTAACTTTCCTTTAGATTTTGAATCTATTTTATTATGTCTGCTCTCCTGTCGTTCAGTTTGTTGTGTCTCTTAGCCAAGGGAAAGCTAAATAGACACTATGGGAGGTGGAGCCTCTCCCCTGTAACAACAGAGAGAGATACCACTGTATAGGCAGTATGGCACTACCTCAAGGGTGAAGTGAGTCTCAAACATCCCAAGAGCATTTGAAAAGATAAGGGAGAACTTGTAAAGATATGAGAGCAGACAGAAGTGATTAGCAGAGGCAGCAGTGGGCAGGTTGTCCAGTTGCAGCTACACAACACTTGAGTTTTCCAATTGGTGTTTTAAAAATTAATTTGTGCCATCAAACTCCAAGGAGATGCCAAACAGCAGCAACCAGCAAACAGCCATGAAGTTAATAACCATTATGACCTTTTTGTTTTATCTTGGGATTGTTGGCCAGGAAACCAGAAAATTCTCTTCTCTTTTCAAACAGTGCCACGGGATGTTTAATGTTCACCTGAACAGGCAGACTCGACTTTGGTTTAACATCTCATCTAAAGGACAGCACCTCCAACAACTCAGTGCTACCCCAGTACTCCAATGGAGTTTCAGACTCACTATGGGAGTTCCAAGACCCGATGTAAGAGTTGAACCCACAACCTTCTGAATCAGAGGCAAGATTACTACCAACTGAGCCAGGCTGAATAATATGAGTGAAATAAACAAAATCCACTTAGCTTTACTAATGAACCACAATAACCTATTTAATAATGTCCTCCTTAGTTTAACTTGCAAGATTATTCAGAAAAATTGAATCGTGATGAAGCTCACCTGATCACAATCAAAGTCGTGCTTTAGTTTTGAAGCAGTCAAGTTGAATCTCATCGCTAAAGATATTGGAGCTTTCCTGACCATTTCGGTTTGCCCCGGACAGCAATAATTATCTTTTGTTCCAGGATCTTTGTTTGAAAGTATCTTCTGGCTAAAATAAGTGCACAAAATAACAGGGCCCTCTTGATCCTGGATCACAAGCTTCTGCCTACAAGAAACAACAGATTCAAATGGATTTTATTACTTTTGTTAAAAAATAATACTTGCATTCAATAAATTAATAAATATACTGTTAGCAATATACTGTTCTGCAATTTGAATCAAATTGCCAATTCTGCCTTTCTTGCATTCTCTCTCATTGTGTTAACTATATAGAAGACCATTCAACACATACACAATCTGATTAATAATAAGAACAACAACTTGCATTTATATAGCGCCCCTCACCATCAGTTCAAACTTTGAAACACAATACTAAAACTCATGAATCATGGAACAACATTTTCCCAGGATATAATTGCCATTTACTTGGGGGAAAAAGGTCCAATCACTTATTATTCTAAGCATTTGTGTTGTTTGTTCCCATCACTCTATCAGACCCCACTCTATCAGACTATGTACTTTCTCAGACCATGTTGTTAGCCAGTTACATTGACAGTAATTGACTGAGATACAGTGTAAAAGATCAGTTGAAGAAATAAACAATTTTGCATTTTTATAACATCTTATATGTCAAAACATCTCAAAACTATTGAATGTAGTGACTAGTTTTTATAAGCAATCACCAGCAACCAAAAGCTTATTCTAATGAATGATAAAATATAAACATTATTACACATCATATAAAAATGTGTAATTGTGTGAACATCTAACGATTGGTTATTGTGTGTGCAGCTAAGAATCAAATAGCTTTAAGTATGTATTGTAATAGCTAGCTGAAGAATTTACTTTTGCCATTTTGCATTAAATTGAAATACTATATTATTGACATTTCAAAAGTTTCTGGCTCTTCATTTGTACTAAGACAAAAGTTTCTCTTTTTAAAAGCCTTTTGCAAACAGTCAGAATTTTACATGAGCCCCTTCATTCGTCTAAAGTACAGAGATACATAGGTGAAATCAGCACTACAAGTCAAACAGAAACTGCTCTAACTCAAGTAGGTGTTTTCTCAGAATTCCATGAATGCTGGGTACTCTAATTTAAATTCTCATCATCACTGGAGATTCTCACGATATTTCTGAAAACATAAAGAGCATATATCCAGAGCTTGTAATCAATCTTGACTGATTTGCAGAGTGGTGAGCAGCTGCTATTTAATAATAATTCTTGCATTTGATATAGCGCCTTATCATGTCTTCGAGACATCTCAAAGCTCTTCACAGAATATACTGTATATTTTGTGGGAAAAGCGCGGCAGCCAATTGCGCACAGCAATGTCCGACAAACCATCGTGGATCGAATGACCAAATTATATTTTTTTTTAGGGATTATTACCCCCGGAAAAGTGATCCACCAATCGATTAACTACCGGGTTCCTACTCACTGCTAGGTAAACAGAGGTGCGTGGAAAAGGGAAACTTGCCCAAAGTTTCATCCTGCCAGTAATTGAACCCAGGTCCTCTCACTTACGAGGTGAGTGCTCTAACCACTAAGCTGCAGGACTGCACAAGCTACAAACCGCCAATTGATGGAATCATTGCTTGATGGATGGCAGGAAGATGGTGGAGGATTTATCTGGAGGATTATTGACTTACTTCCCCATTTCAAATTGTGTTCCTTACTGAATTACACCCAATACAAAGCAACTATCAAAATATTAGCAGCAATGTATTGTAGTCTCTTTACACCCAACTGAATTAACTTTGCCTTGATTGTGTCATCGGGCTTTCCAGCCTTCTATAAAACTTACAGCACCATAAAACCTGTATGTGACCAACATAGAAACACAGAACATTTGCAGTACAAATGGCTATTAGACACTCTCACCTTTAAATAAAGATGCATACATCTGTAAAAGTAGGTCTCTCAACTACTCTGATCAGTTAAGATTCAGGTATTATTCTATTCTATTCAGTTATTAACATTTGGAGTACATTTGTTTTCTTTCTTCCTACTCCTAAAATGCATAACTTCACATTTTCTACATTAAATTCCTTTTGCCAACTATCTGCCCACTCCACTAACCTGTCTTTGCCCTCGTGCAAGCACTCCAGGCTGCTACTCCGCATGAAGGGCGCTATATAAACGCAAGTTGTTGTTGTTGTGTTGCATATTGTAAACCTGCTTACAAGATACTGTGATACTCCAAGTTTCAAAGAAACATTGATTGCGTGCACAAACTGGACACATACCTAATAATTTAACTACCTGCCTGAGGGAATGTACTCATAGTGGTTTGTAGGCATAAACAGAAGCACTGATATGCATCATGACATTTTCTGACTCCCATTGCATTACAGGGCAGTGCGGCTGCTCAAACTGTTACACCAAAGCCCTATTCCGCTGCCACGGTCTCCGTGGAGACAACATAGCTTTAACTGTCTTGGGTTTGGCAAATCTATACTGGATGTTCACACTGTATTTTAATGTCTACAAGTAAAAATCCTAGCATAGCAAGAGTATCAAACAGTAAACCCTGGGAATTGTAGTTTTGGCAGCTGAGGCTGGCACTGACACGAACTGCAGTTCATAGAACATTACAAAATTGGTTACTAATGTGGCCCTTGTGCAAACAAAAATAATTTGTACATATCAATAAATGTAAGACGGTACTCAGAATAGCCATGGCTAACCTTGTTACTATGGGAATATTAAGGGCTTACTGCCTGCCAGTGCTCATGGTTCTCATCATAACTGGCATTTTCCAATGAAGCAATTCCCATAGTTAATCTTCCAGCCCCAAAAGCTATATTATTGCAATTTCAAAAATAGTAATTTTTTCAAAGGTTGTTTCTAAATATCCCAAAATGTATCAAGATAAAGAATGATAAGAAACGCCGACTTATGTTTTATTACACAAATCTCTAGATGTTTTGAAGGTCCCTTAGCAGTGGAGTTCTGTAGCTCAGTGGTTAGAGTACTCGCCTAACAAGTGAGAGGACCTGGGTTCGATTTCTGGCAAACATTGAAACATTCAAACATTGGGCAAGTTTCTTTACTCCACGTGTCTCTGTTTACCTAGCAGTAAGTAGAAACCTGGTTGTTAGAAGATTGGCAGATCGTTTTTCCAGAGATAATAATCCCTCAAAAAAAATGTGGTCACTCAATCCACGACTGCTTATGGGATATTGGCTGTGCGCAATTGGAGTTCACGCTTTGCCCAATAATATACAGCCAATTCACTTTACAGTATATTCCGTGCAGCGTTTTGAGACGTCTCGAGTCCGTAACTCTGTCTGTCCAGCGCCTTGGGACGTCCTCCCGACGTGAAAGGCGCTATACAAATGTAATGTTGTTGTTGTTGTAAGGCGCGATATCAAATGCAAGGATTATTACTATTATTTCTCCCTTTCTGCAGCTTCAGCACGCTCTCAGACACACAGCACTTCATTTTAACTCGCCAATGATCTGGTGCGACCCAAACCATATTGACTAGAAGGTCGCACGTTCTATTCTAATCTGTAGTGAATTAACTATTTTAGGTGGGGAACAGTTGAGACTTTCCAATTGACCTTAGTGCACCTTGGCCTGGGGAGTGGGAATAAAAACAAATTCTCATGCCTAATCACTAACCACTCCCTGCATATGTGTAGGTATTTTTGAGGACAGAATTGGGCTCAGCTGTAACACGTTGAATAATTTTTTTACCATGCACAGCCAATTGGGCAAGGTTAAAAAAACACAGCAGCCCCTCAAGAAAACTTACACTCCTGGAAAATAAAACTTCTTCCACCCTAGAAAATGAAAGGATTTTCTCTTTTCAAAAAAAGTAAACACTGTTTATTTAGTACAGGGGTGACCAATCTGTGGCCCCCCCGAACAATGGCATGAGTCTATGTTCGATCGGTAGTGTGTTTTCAGTTTTTTCTTGATTGAATATTTCTTGATTTATGGCATATATCAAGAAATATTCAATCAAGAACATTTATTTTGTTGGCCAACCACAAAGATTGCCCACCACTGATCCAGTTGATAACAGGGATGCTGAAAGTTACAGTGTGAGGCAGGAATAAATAAAAGCAAAAAGGGTGTTGGCCAAATTGCCAAATCATTTGTGTTCCAATCGTTGCAGGTTATGTTAAAGCTGTACAGAACTTGGCACATTTGGAGTACAGTGAAAGAGTATAGGTCAGCCCCCTCTACGATTTGGGGGGAATTGACCAATCTCTAGAGGCAGTGGAAAAGACATCAACAAACCTGATCTCCCAGTAAAAAATGGGTAAGTCTCAAAAAGAGAACCATATATCGATACGTAGAAGATAGATATGTACAAGATAGTGAGTGAGCTGTCGGATCCTGAGATGCTGCTGGGTAATTCAAAAGCCCAAATAACAATCAATTCCTCCCAAAAGTACCTTCATATGCTCAACTCATTAACAAACAGCCAATGACTGAAGGTAAGTCATTTTTTTTTGTGTGACTAGAGGTTGAAAATTAACATAGGACATAGCCTGCGTTTGAAGGAGGGGTAAATTCAAAACAAATCTGCGGAAACACTATTTCAGTATGCAAGTGGTAAATCTATAGGGAGATGCTGGAAGCAGGAAGTGTCGATGCTTTCAACTTCAAATTAGATTGATTTCTTTTAAGAAATAATATTTTGGGATACAATATTCAAGGAGATCAGAACACGGCACTGCCAGGATGGTGGAAAATGAACTGGATGGACCTTGGTCTTCTTTCGTCTAGCATTTCTTATGCTCCTAACATCGGATGAGACATTAAACTGAGGTCCCTGCCTGTTCAGGTGGAAGTTAAAATCCCATGGCATGATTTGAAACGAGAAGGCAGTTTCTCCCAGTGTCCCGGCCAACAAATCCCCCAAATAAAATTGATCATTCACTCCATGGCTGTATGCGGGACATTGCTATGTGCAAATTGGCTGCAGCGTTTGCCCACAAAATACATAGTCAATCCACTTTACAGTATATCCTGTAAAGCACTTTGAGACGTCTCGACGACGTGATAAGGCACTTTATCAAATGCAAGGATTTAATCTTAATATTGATTATTATTATCATTAGTTTCCTTTGCATCTTGTAAACATGT